AAGGGAGGGGGATGGTAGCTGGGATAAAAGAGCCAAGAATACTCCTTTTGTCCTGTTATTCTCATTGTAACAGAGTATCTTGGCTGAATGTCTATTCCTAGGCATGTAGGTCAGGAAATATGATTAGGAAAACCTGCCTTTTAAAAGATGCAATCAGTTTTCTGTCTTGCAAAAAATATAGACTTAAATATATTTAGGAAACAAATGTTTCCTATTTCTGGGACAACTTCTGGGTAAGCCATTTCATTATATATAGGGTGTCCCCAAAAATGTATACACACACTTGGAATAATTATAAAGGCAGTGTTTATTAAAATACATTTCATTTTCAAAATTGAGCTATCAGCTGTTGAAGTGTGTATACATTTTTTTGGGACATCCTGAATATCAAGCAGAGACCATACTCTGTGGTGATACTGAGGCCACACCTAAAACTGCAGATTTATGTAGGAGGCCAGCTTGCAAGTCTTTGAGAAATAACTATTTTCCTAGAACAGATTTTAGTTGTACCAGGCTAAAATTATAGTGTATTTCTACAGAGTTGTATGTTTTTGCATTTTGAGATTAAGAGCCAACCCTGAGAGATTTCCCTTAGACCATTGAGAGGTAGGAGTGCCAGAAACTGAAAGAACTCTAATGAATCACACTCAGTGTTGCACTGGGCCCAGACATGACTTCTATAAGTTAGCAGTGCTCTGGCAGAGTGCAAGTATTAGAAGATCCTAATGGGTGTGAATATAATTTTAATTTGTTGAGTAGGCTGTGAGTAATCAGATTCATGACAAGATTTCAATTCTGTGGAAATACTCTGGAGGCCCCAGGTGGCAAGGGTGTATTGCCAATTCAGTACAGTACCAGTTCAGGCAGAATTATTTCTTCTTTGGTAGTTTTTAAGTTAAAATGTCTCATTACCCTTTAGCCCAGTGATTTTTACTTTTTAAACTTAATTCTGATTCTTACTTTTTAAACTTAATTCTTACCTTTAATTAAGTTTAATAGATCTTCTCTCTAGAGAATGTACATACATGATTTTTGCATTCAATTTCAGGGGCCATGACCCCCTGAAGTTCAAGAGAGACCTCGTCCATGAGTCCCAGGTTAGGAATCTCACCTGAAACTTAATTGGAACATTCCAATGGAGAAATACAAGCGGGGAGTGGGGAATAGGGGAAGGAGGAAGTGCGAGACCAACCTGTGCTGGATCCCTGTGAGATGCTGGTGCAGGTGATGGGAGAAAGCTGAAGAATTGCTCTTTCTGAGGAGATTTTTATCTATCTGGACTTGGAAGGAATAGATGGAGAACTTCTAGGAAGCTCTGGGCTAAGGGACTGATGACCCATTTATGACAGTGGGCATAGGAAGGGGAACCAAAATGGAATCAGGGGTTAAAGGGCTCAACTGGAACTTTCTACAGAGATTGATTCTATGCTGCCTTGGTATTCTTGTCAGACTCTGAAGAATCTAACCTACAGGGAACAGAAAAGAGGCACAAGAATGGAGCTGTGTCGGGCAGTATCTGGGAGCACCAGCATCTTCTTCTCAGGGAGCAGGTCTAAAAGGCCATCTTCTCGGTGTCATTACTGTATTATCAGCCACTGTAGTCTGAGAAGGGTCACTAACCAAAACATGAACTGCAATGTCTTGTTCCAATTGAGAAGATAAAATGTGACTAAAACTAATGCTATTTCCTTTTCAGGACTCTTAGACTCTTGATTGGAGGATAAGGGAGCTCCTTCTCTGAAGATCCAAATAATAGAGCAATTAGCAGCATGGTTCCAATTTAGGGTTCTTTAAGTCAGGAGACCTGGTTTTAAGTCCTGGTTTTGCCAAGTGCTAGCTGTGTGACCTTGAGCAAGTTTTGGAGTCTGCTTCTGAAAGTGTTAAGTGAAAATAATAACAGTGCCTACTTCATATGGTGGTTGGGAGATAAAATTGGTCGGTGTTTGGCACACAGTAGGCACTCAATAAGTGATAGCTGTCATTGTTATTGGTGCTAAATACTGGAATGATAATAGGAAGCTATCTCCCAGCCTCTTCCCAGAGACACTTCCCCCCTAATATACTTTAGCTGCCCTCTTTAAGGGCTCCAGCCCACATTCCCCAAACACTGCACAACTCAGGGCTTCCTCTGGTCATCCTATGTGTGTAGGGCTGGCCCTGAAGACCTTTTCCTGTGACATTTATGATGAAAAGGTCCATGTCAGCTTGGGAATCTTACCATCCCTCCTTTACTTGACTACCCTGAAGGATAAGAGTTCTTTAGGTAAGGAAAGATTATATAGACAGAGAGCTTCTAGAACCTTCCCTAGGGAGTTTTGTTTTCTCAGAGGAGTCAGTCATCACCACCACCCTACCTCACCTCATTCCAAGAGAACTACATATAAGAAAACTAACATTTGCACAAGACTTCCCAGGGGCCTTAGACATTCTTCTCCCCAAAAACCTTTCGTCCCCATTTTACACATGCAGAAACTAAGTCACAAGCAATCATTCAGTGCTGGAGCGGAAATTAAGCCCAGATCTGTGACTCCAGTGCTCTTTCCACCTCTCCACAACAACCAGCAGCAAGNTTTCGTCCCCATTTTACACATGCAGAAACTAAGTCACAAGCAATCATTCAGTGCTGGAGCGGAAATTAAGCCCAGATCTGTGACTCCAGTGCTCTTTCCACCTCTCCACAGCAACCAGCAGCAAGCACACACACACACACACACACACACACACACACACACACACACACACACACACACGGCCCCAGCTCATTCTTCCAAATTTTGTTTGGGATGGCCTTGGGAAATCTCCAGTGCCCAAGGGAGTTGACTGGCGCTGACGTCAGGCTGAGCTCCCTGGGGTAAGTAAGGCATTCTCCACTAGAGGCCTGAGGCAGTTATTGCAGTTTCTTTTGTGATATGTCACTCTGCTCACAGAGATCCCCAGCAATCCCTCCCAAACAATACCCCCTCCAACCCTCCCATGAAACAGGTGTCCTGCCATCCCAGGACTCAGGCACTTCACAAAAAAGAAGTCTTTTGCACATCTGGAGTTCTGGCTACTAAAAACCCTTGTTGGTTTGGGTGTCTCATCACGTACCCTATCGTTTCCCAATCCAGCTGGAGGTCAAGATCCAGGATGGAAGGGGAAGCAGGTGGAGTGGGCAATGACTGTCCTGACAAGGGCAGGTATGGTCAACTCCTTGGAACTGGAAGCAAGGAGAGAGGAGGGAAGGCATGATTCCTGCCGTTCCCACTAAGCCCAACCCTGACATCCCCCTAGTACCAGTCAGCAAGGAGGGGAGATGACGCCTCTTTATTAAGGTTAACACCAAGAAAAGCATTGAAAAGGAATACATAGAGGAGGAGGAAGGGCACACAAAGTCACCACTTGAGGAGATGGGAGGAGGCACATCAGTTAAGAACCTCAGGACAGCCACATGCTCCATGCCCTGGTTGTGGGGGGAAAGAGGGAAGGAGAGGGGAAAGCGCCATGATAGCCTGGGGCTCACAGAAGGGTCTGAAGCCCCCTGAACCTAACACCAGAGCCACAAGCCCTGCCCCTCAGGGCTCACATACTACTACACAGTGGACACACATATCACACACAAGACATTATGGAGGCAAGACCGAGAGGCAGCGGGCAAGGACATATTGACAGGAAAAGGAACTGAAGTTAAGCGGGTGTAGCCAGGAGAGAGACAGGTTTTGGTTGTGGCCCCCAAGAGTCCCTCAAATGTCCCCTAAATCTGGGCTGTTGCTGAGCACCCCCAAGTCTCTGCCTGTGAACTGGCTCTTTGTTCTCTAAGTCCCAGTGAGTGGAAAAAGCAATTCCAGATGTAGTCAGCAACAAAGCAGGATCCGCTCTGCATGCAAAATCCTAGAGGTTGAGCTATTTTGTCTTCATGCACATTCAGAGCCAGCTCCTCCCAGCCCAGGGGCCCTGGGAACCCCATTCTCCTAGATTCCTGGGGCTGCAGTTCCCTCCTCAAGCTTCCTTTACCAATCAGCAGCCGCAAAGATCTGTGAGGGGAGAGGCTTCTGCAGAGCGCTGAATATCTTGGATTTCAGCAGAAGGGGAAATTTTCTATTGCCAGAACAGAATACCCCAATTCCTTAATTTCTAGGTAAATCATTAGAGACTATTTGCCATAGTCCTAGATAAGTCCTTTTTCAGAATAGAAAAAGCAGATTTTTATTTACACAATTCAGGGGTTCTCCCGTTGTCTGGGGTGGGGGCGGGAGGAGAAGGTAGGGGATGGATGGGAGTCCAGAGATGGGCGCTTCCTCTCCCAGAACCTCACCTTTCTGCAGTTTGCTACGTCTCTCGCTTGATTAGGCAGAAAGAATTCTTGATGCTCCCAAAGTCCTTCACCCTATAAATCCTTCCTCAAGGAGTCTCTCTCTGCCTGAACCACAAGGGCAGCGGTCGGAGTGAAGCTGCTGCACCGCTTGTTCAGTCCACTCGCGTCATGCACTCGGAAACCCAAAGCCAGCTCGGGAAAGTAGTGGCCCTCGGAGTCCCCTCACAGGGAGGCCTCGCCCTCCAGCTGCAGCAGGGTAATGTCGGGGAGATCGAGGGACTCCACAAGTGGCCCGTCCCCCCCAAGGAGACCGGCACAGGGGCTCTCGGCGCGCTCACAGGGACTAGGGGGTGTGGAGGAGCGGGGCATTTCCTTCTCTTCGTCGTCGTCCTCCTCGTCCTCAGGGTCTCGACCCAGCAAACCGCTGCCCTCGATCCCAGGCGAAGGGGTCTCGGGCTCTTGGGGGGCTCCCGGGAAGCTCCCCTTGCCTCCGACCACGCCCAGGCCGCCCTGGCGGGGCGCAGTGGTCATAATCTGGCACATGGAGACAATGGCCCGCTGGTTGGCACACACGTCGTCTGAGAGCACCTGGATGTGCGAGGCCTGCTCGTCCAGGGCCCCCCGCATGGCCCGCACGTCCTCAAACAGGGCCTGCAGCTGGGCCTTCAGGTGCTCCATTAGTTCCTTCATGCCGCCGTTGTACTCGCCGGAGATCACGTCCCCCACGGCCGGCACGGTGGACACCTCCAGAGGTGCCGGCATGTCGCCGCCGTCCTTGGTCATGATCTCCAGCAGACCGTCCTCCATTGAACGGCAGAGGCGGGTGGTGGCAGCTCTGGGTCCGGTGCAGCCCGGCCTCCGGAATGGGGGCGGGGGAGGGGAGAGGTCCCCGGAGGGACAGGGAGGAGCCGAGGAAGGGGAGGCTTCTGAGAGGGGCGGGGAGCCGACGTGAGGAGGTGAGCCCCGGGCGGAGGGCGCGGCAGGATCCGGGAGGCCGGGAAGAGCCTGCGGGTCGAGGACCCCACGAGAGGCCGGAGGCCGGCGTGCGTCCGGCTCGCCCCGGGGCGAAAGCGCCCTGCCTCGCCTCGCCTCGCCTCCTGACCCGCGCCGGTGTCAGCGCCGCCCTCTCGGCGCCACGAGCAGCAAGTGCTCCCCGATTCCCTGGGTCACAGAAGCGTTTGCGGAGGGGCCCGGGTCGAGGCCGAGGCCAGCTGCGGGTCGGGCTCGGGACTCCCCTCGGCTATTAAGGGGCAGCGCCAGCGAGTGTGGTAGGAGCTCCAGGGGCGGGTCTCCCAGCCGCGCCGCGGATGCTCCCGTTTCCAAGGCGACGCAGGCACGTAAATGACGTGTGTCTCCATGGCAAGCAGGAAGTGAGAAGAAACGGGAGAAAGGCTGGAAGCTGCAGTGGGGCTCCGGAGTCTGAGCTGGGGGCGGGGCGGGAGCGCCGGGGACGCTGCAGTGGCCTCAGCTGAGGCTGGGAAGAGCGTGTGGCTGCAACGTTTATTGGGAAAGCTTGAGAGCAGTTTGCTGCATAAACCCCAGGTCCTGGAGAGGTCGTCCCTCCCCCAGTCCGGGTGCTAGACACTGAGCGCAACTGCCTTGGTAGGGTTGTAACCCTCCCGCAGTCCTTTCTCCGAGGATGGCGCTAGAGCGGAGCCTTGCTTCTCTGTCCTGCAGCCGCCGGCAGGAAGCAGAGAGGGTAGGGAAGGCGACGCCGGTAATCCCAGACTCGAGCTGGAGCGCGGCGGCGCCCGGAGCCGGCCCCGCGGGTCGCGGAGGTGCAGAAGCGGGGAGGGCGCCCCGGAGGTTTCCGCCTCTCGGGTTTCTGCAGTAAATCAGCCCCCTCGCTGTAGATAACACAGGAACACAGAGAGGACGGGATTCCCTCCCATACGAGACCCAAACACTCCTACCCAGGGTACTGGGAATTTTTCCAGGGTGGTGAGACAAAGTACTTAAGTTTTGAGAATGAAAGCTCCATAAGGGCAGATAATTTTGTCTCTTCGCGCCCCCTATCACCTTCACGGAATCCCCAGCACCTAAAATAGTGCCTGACACGTAGTAAGTAAATGCTCAGCACATGTGTTGAATTAATAAAAACTATCTTCCTTTCCCTCATCCATAATCTCCCAACACGCACATAGTGGATTTAGGAGACCTGAATTCAATTTTGTTTCTACCACCTAATTCAGAGACCTTGAATAAGCCATTTTCTTGGTTTGTTAGAGGACTGGACTGGATAATTTACAATATTATTTCTAACTGAATAACTCTGCATCAGCTAACAAGCGAAAGGGATAAATGCTGAGTGTGTGGAAGGGGCAGG